GATTCTTGGGCTACCTCAAAAGAACTGTGGGTGATGCTGGAAATATGTTTTCACCATATTTCCCAGATACATATTATCATATTGATGTTTGAAAAACACTGGTCTGGAACATGTGCCCTGAGAGCCTGTCCAATAATTTTTATGAAATTTGTGCCAGCCTTTAGGGTTATTAGGGATGCCTTGTTTTCTTTTTCTTTCTTTTTGGTTTGTTTGATTTTATTATTTTTGCATGAGGTTGAGATTAATCTGTCTGGCTTTGCTAATAGGCATGTGGATGGATTTGGGTTTTGCCCCATAGACTCCCCCTGGGTGAAAAACACAGCTGTAATAGGTAAACATTACTGTTTTATCAATTTATGGGCCTTGTGAGTTGGAAAGGAGAAGTATGGAATGCAGAGAGAAACTCTAAATAGGGCTCTCAGAAAAAACAACAACAACAAAAAACCAGTGTGGTGGTTGTTCTGTGTTACGTGCAGTACACATTTAGGGGCTATTACTGAGAATCTAAGCAGTTGATTTGCAAGCATAATGTGATCAAGTTGGATGATCAGTAATACATTCAGGTCAAATGTATAATTGATTCCTTTTGTCATAGTCAAGTAGCTGGGTAGTGATTTCTTTCTTTTTTTTTTTTTTAAAGATTTATTTATTTTGAGAGAGTGAGAATGAGAGAGAGAGAGTACATGAGAGCGGGGAGGGTTAGAGGGAGAAGCAGGCCCCTCGCCGAGCAGGGAGCCCGATGCGGGACTCGATCCCGGGACTCCAGGATCATGACCTGAGCCGAAGGCAGTTGCTTAACCAACTGAGCCACCCAGGCGCCCGTAGTGATTTATTTCAACTGCAAGATGGGACAGTGGTGTGGATGCAACATTCTCACCATCCCCCACGCTAATGATCCTGAGTATTGGTCTACGTGCCTCTCCAAAAACTGTAATTACTACACAAAAATAACTTTCCAGGATCAAAGAAGACCATTCTTGGATCAAGGATATGAAAATCACAGAACTTAAAGGATGGATACTGAAAACCTGTGGTTCAGTTCTATTTGCAGGAGAAATGGAATTATTGGATGTGTTCTAGTCACATAATATTTTTTAAAGTCGTTTTATCAGTTCTGCCTGGTAAAGTTAACTGGATTATTTCTAGTTTTTATTTAAAAGGGGTTTTCAACTCACCATCCCTGGTGATGGGTTGTCAACAAGACAAGGACAGTCGGATTAAGGAAATCTTTATGTTGCAGCCAGTTTTAATTTGTGTTCCATTCACGGCGGTGAGGAACAGGGGGGTAGAGGAATATGTTCACCAGGGTTTTGGAGAATTGAACTTGTTGCAATTGTATTGTTTTCTAAATTTATCGTCCTTAAGAATATAAAACATAACAGAGGAATCAGATAAATAAACCTTAGACAAAGATTCATAATGTTGCTTTCCATATGAAACAATTCCCTCGCAGCACACAGCCTTATACAAGAATTGTCTTTTTGATTGTTTGCCTGGCTCAGAGTCTGACTAGGGGTGGCCCAAACAAGGAGTGTGTGGTGGTGGGTGGCAATTGTGAGGCACAGAGCACTGCTGAGGTTGGGGTTTGTGTGGGTATCTATGTTGGCTTTTCTGTTCACAGCGGATGGTCCGACATTATCCCTCCTGAAATCTTTAAACCGATTTGCTAGATTAGTTTTACATCAGATCATAATACATGATGTTGTGAAGGACACTTGGGTTATGAGTAAGTTTTACATTGTTTTAGTGATGTTCTCCCATAGTACTCCAGGGTATTTCCATTCCAGTATGATACATCAACTATATTCTTGGAGTCTTGTCTGGAATTAAACATCCACTAAGTTCAAAAGTAATTATTTTTTTTTATTTCAACTCTATAAAGTATACAACAGGCACTCGGCAATTACAGCTGCAGGAAAAATACAGAGCAAATCAAAGCAGGTTAATTTTATGAAAAAAGTTTTTAATCTACATCAAAAGAGTGCAAGTGGTCAATGACCATTTGATGACAGTTGTTGCATTCTGACTAACAAAGGACTCTTTCATGTAGAACAAATTGTAAGAGGACAATCAACCATAGCTGTAAGAATACAAAAGAACTGACCAGTTGTAAAAACATCATACAATGAAATAAATTGGATAGATGATGCTTGAAGAAATGTCCCTTTCCTCGGAAAGCCCAAACCTCTGAGTCATGGTCAAGGTCCCAGAGCTCTATTAATTCAGGGGCAGATAAAGAGGAGGGCTAACAACACACTTCCAATGTTTATCTTGCCAGGTCTGTTGAAAACTTGCTTCATAAATGATTTGCATATACAAGAACTCAGAAAGCATCCTGTTTTGTTGAGGAGTGCACCAAGGTACATGTTCATCATTGGTTTCATAACGAGGTGTGGTTAGCAGTCACTTTCCAATTTTTCTTTTGAGTTGGATCGTTGGTAATGGAGTCTATAAAATGAGACGTTAGAACTTGACTGCACTAAGTGTTTTTTTTTTTTTAAACTGAATCTGCACAGCTTAGCAAAACAGGAATACCTGTATACAGACTGATAGTATGTCATATATTAATTTGACCCGCACATACATTTATACATTTCACAGAAATGACGCTGTATCTCAGTAACAGATACACAGCTCTGGTACGTGTAACAGAAATAAGAGAACAACTTTATCATTTCTGTAATTCATCAATATTATATAATAAAGGCTTATAAATTGTTAGCAGAAAGAACTGTAAAACGCAGCAAGCTAAGAAAGGACAACATTTTGAGGTGTATTTGTCTTTGTCATGCAGCATAACACCAAATTTGTTTTTTAATAGGATGCCATGAATTTAAGGCACTTGCAACAATGCCAGATAGCCAGGTCATGTTCTAAACTATGGAACAGATGAAACCGTACAGTTGACGTAATTTTCAATAATACTGACAATTATGACATTAATTCAAGTCTACTTGGACCTAAAAACATCATTCGGTACAAGGAAAATGAAATAATAATGCTGTGAAACACTAAAAAAAGTTATATGTACCACAAAATATCACACAAAAATATCTATTTACATAAATATTTGTGGTCCTATTGTGAAAGAAAATGTCATTATGGAGAATGCACGGATCACCTCTACCGTATGAAATCAGTTCTAATATCCTTATTTTCAGTATGGTAGCTGACTTCTTTAAAATTTCAGTTCACCATCAGTTCCGTCACATAGAAATGAAATGAAAAAAATTCAATAGCTGAATTTATATATTACACATGTGTGATTCACATGCATATCCCATAATTTTAAGTAAAATAAAGTGACTTAGTACATAATCAAAAGAAATTTGTTTTCAATGCCACGTGGATCTGATTCATACATGAATAACAAAGAAGATACAAACATAAAGATCATTTAGAGCAAATTTCAAGAAATCATTTTCTCTAATGTGTTCAGTTTATCTCAAATATCATGATGTTCCTTTCCTTGGCAGTTTTCAGTTTTCCTGTGCATCAAGAGGCACAGAAAGCCCATGTTTCTTATTAACAAGAAAGTCAGTTAACAAATCAAACAAGTTGGCACTAACTTGTCCAGATGTTCTTTAGGGTAAGAAAAGAGAGGGGCATGAACAATTCAGAAATAAAGTGAGATGCGCTTTACAAAGCTGACCATGAATTTTAGCCCTAGTGTCTTCATTAAGACAAGATTTAAATCCTTAAATTTCAATGCTGAAGATTAGAGGACTGTTTTCTGTTAGCAATTTTTGGAAGCTGTAGTTCACCTTTATTTGTTAGTGATTGCTTTAGACATCCTAATGCAATGCCACTGGTGAAATGTAACAAAGATGTGCTAACAAACAAGTGGGAAAAATGGCCGACAGTCCCATTGAACCCCATGCTGCTCCTTCATTCCTCAGAGAACTTGTATACATTGTTGTCTTAGACTTGAACCACAGTAAGGGTTAAGCTCTGGGGCTATTGGGGCATTTGAAAAATTGCAGGAGCAGTATCTCAGAATCTCTTAATTTGTGACTAGATGAACTTAGTATTCTAGCAAACCTTTAGCGTGCCTAAACTGCTCTGTCTTTTAACAAAAACCACTGAACAGTGACCATGATGTTGAAATTGTATACTTTTAAAAGCCCAGTTAAAAGCAATGTAAAAATCCTGAAATAGCATTCATAGCTGGATTTTAGGTTGATTGATTGATAGGTTTAATTTTATATTCTGATATCTGTAGAAGAATGTGGGTATCTTGGGGAATAAATTGATCTTGAGCAATTATTTGTTAAGAGAGGGAAAACTCTAACACAAGAATTACAGTAACATCTTGGGATCAAACTTATAATGTAACTTTATTCTGATTATATATAGTATGCCCTTAGTATTTTTATTCCCCAAATGTTTCATAGATTATGTTTTGATACCATGTTCTAAAGTACTCTACTCTTGGTATGAAAAATTCAAACAGAAATCATAATATATGCCTTCTCGGATATGGTGTAATGACCTGTGTGGATATATTTTTTGCAGAAATGTTTACGTTTCATTGATTTAACAACAACAAAAAAACTTTATACTGGAAAAAAGCAACCTTCAATTTAATATAACAGTATGCATTTGTTTACTCAGGGAGAATGCTACTTGTCCAGGAAGAGCCTCCAGAACAGTCTGCTACCTAGGACAGTTTAGTCAACTTGCCTGTCAACAAAGGACTCAGTTTAAACGCTGCTTCTTTACCCCTCATGAGTAAAGCAAGTAGGTTTGGTATTTTCCAGTACATTACAGGATTGCCATATTTCTGTCCTAGGTAGCTAAAATTTATGTTTGAGAAATAAATAGGGGTCCTGTTTTCTTCTCGACCCCCCTCCCTACTCTCACACGTGCATGAACTCACAGTGGCTCATTCTCCACAAGGTCATCAGCAGCGGGCTAGGTCTGGTCCCGTTCCCTGACCTCACAGAAGCAAGCTTTCTTATCTGGTGAATCTCAATGGTTTTGTGCTTTCCTCTTCTTTCTGGTTCAGGCCTAAGACAAGAAGCCAGCTGAATGGGTTTTAATCACCTTTCCCCCTCAACCCTTGGCTATGTTGTGTAAGTGAAATCGGACAGGAGTTTGGTTGGTAAATGTAGTGAAGAATGCTTGAGTCTCTGGCTACACAGGTGATGAGTAGAATTTGTGTTGTCTGCTCAGACACGGACATTTACAGATGAAAGATAGATATACATAGCACCTATATAGTTTCTTATTTTTATTTTTGGATGGATCTTAGTCCCTCTCCACCCCACCCTGCCCCCACCCCGCAAGGGTTTCTTTTTATAAAAGGGACTATTTTAAGCCTCAGTCTGAGGGCTTGTTAAGTAATAAATAAAAATCAATTGGCTGCTAGTCATTTATTTCCAGGACCATCTTGAAGCACAACATTTTAAAAGATATGAAATGGTTTGTGAGTTGCTTTTTGTTTTTTTCCCCACTCTGTCATGCCAATTTATCGAGAAAAGAAACAAATATCATGCATGTTGTTTTGTTTTTCAATCCTGTGAAAACGCATATATACCTGCTATGAGAGTTCTCAGCAGAACCTATAGCAGTTGTGCTTTTATCGTATCAATTTTTAAAATCTGTCGGAAAGGAAAGGTAACATTCAGTCTCGTCATCAGCACTGCTGGGAAATTAAATCATGAAACTTCTAGCACTGGTTTGCCATGACCTCTGTGACCAACAGATGCGTGGCCCTCTTCCGGCTTGCGCGAATGTATCTGAATGTATCCTATGCCCTCACGGGAAAAGGAAAGGAAGCTCCCAGTTTTTGTACCACCGTCATCTATCGTACCCAATATTTAATTTTTTTGATCTTCTTGATAATTCTAGCAAGGTGCAGACGCTTTTACTAGACTGAAGTGTTTCTGGCAGTCTTTCAAATTATAGAGCAAAGCAAGATCATTCCAACACTAGAAGACACCTCTTGACTGGTGTGAAAGGCTTTGCTTCAGGACCACCATGTCAACTGCTATTTTTAGGATCAAACAGAAAACATGTATAGAGCACTGTTGTCCTAATGCCACTGCAGTTACCGGAGCAGCATCGATCAAAGGCATCATGGTGACCCCGAGCACTAATCTTCTCTCCGTCCCTCAGGTTTGCTGGCAGCTGTGTCTCAGAAAAAGCTGACTTCAGCAAGGCAGAAGCAGGTAAGAGAAATACATTAGAAGTCTATGTCCCATCCCGAGTTGTCGTCAGGTGGCGGTTCGTCATTGTCCTCAGGGAAACTGTCGAAATTGCTTGTGTCTGTGGGTGATGCAACCTGCACACGAGAGGATGGACAGGGAAAGGATTTCTTCATTTGCGAGTCAAATTCCAAAGGAGAGTTTTACAAAGCGTTCTTTATTCATGCCCTCATCGACAACTATTTTTTTTTTTTTTTTTGAGTGTCTACCAGGTTTTGTGCTTTGTATAGGGGGGAACAGCAGTGAATAAAAACAGACATGGCTCTTATCCTCAAGAAGTTTCTACTCTAGCGGAGGGTACCTTGTAGGATTCAAACAGATAATCTAGAGATGATTCTAAAGTTTGGTTACTGCTGTGAAGGAAAAAAGAGTGTAAGAGTGATGATGGAAAGCCTCTTTGAAAAAATATTATTTCAAAACTAAGAATCGATGAGTTCGATTTTTGCACGTGCAAAGGTCCTGAGGTGAGAAAGAGCGCTTCATGCTGTGATGTAACCAAAGAAGGCCAAGGTGGCTGCTCTGTAAGAGAGGAGAGTAGTGGAAAGAGAAAACAGGAAAAAGAGGCAGAAATCAGGTCGTGAAGAGCCTTGGAGGCCATCTTAAGGCTTTTGTGGTATTTCAAGTATAATAAAAAGCCATTCCTAAACTCAAGCAAAACTCTTGCAAATTTACTGGGTAAAGTCCAATCTGGAGAGCATCAGTAAAAGCGGTGAAAATCCACGCTTTAGTTTCCCTCATATTCTAGAATATTTACGACCACTGAGACACTAATATTGAATGAAATATATATGGGTATATCCATAAATATACCCCATTCAGTATTTCTATTACATAAAAGGAAACTGCTGATAGCTTTAGGTAAGTATCATTTCGGCTTACTATTTACACCTCCCAGTTTCTTACTCTAAAAACAGAACCTCAGGAATGCCATTAGCATCATCTGTAATGGGAGGTATGGTAATGGGATTTGTGTTTTGTGTGTGAATAAACACAAACGTCGTCACAGTAATAAATCTCAGGGAAAATGGTTCTGTCTAAAGAGCAGTCTTGAGTTAGTCCCAGAAAAATGAAGTATATATCTGAATGGCTCAGGACAGCGTAGCAGCCCCCTCTTTCTTTGTCAAGATGCAGCACATTTCATCGGACAGATGCGGTATTAGATACAAATATGTAAAGGTGCCAAACGCTTGATCACCGGCAGTGGGCTGCTATTTAACAAAACGCCTGACGTGTTCAGAAAAGACAGTTCAGGAAAGAGAATCCTTTTCTTTTAGAGCCTCACGAAAGGATAAATGAACATGGTATTGCCTGGGAGTACTTCGAAGTGATACGGAGGCATAAATAGAAACCCTATTGGCCAGGAATTGGTAGCTGTTGAAAATGGCCGTTGGACTGTTGACCAAACCCAACCAGAAACCAGAGAGCACAGGAATGCTCTGAGTGGCCCTTACAGGTTAGGCTCCTGGGGACAGAGCAAGGTGGGGCATAAACTGGGATCATAAAGACAAAATAACAGCCCACTGCCCTAACTCACCCAAGTATACTCTTGTATACACTAAACTGGTCATAATTCATCAAGAAGCCTAATTCATTAAAGTTGTTCATGCATTCTTGGGCAAAGATGTATGAAGTTTATATATTCTGGAAAAAAAAAAAACTGGTTGCTGGACACCCATTATGCTCTTTTGTCTACATCAGTGGATATTTAACACTTACTGTACTAAAAGTCCATTTTTATTCACAAAAGAAATTAGAATGAATAGTTTAAAAAGGTAATGGTAAAATACACATAAAACAACCATCCCCTAAGTGACCTGTGTTTAAGCTTGGGTTTTCAATGCCATTATTCTAAGGTGGTACTTCTCCTGTAGTTTATTTAAGCTGATCATAGGATAAAACTTTTAACAACTGACCTAAGCACCATACGTGTGTCACAGAAATATAAGCTGGATGGTCTACTTACACTTGGTATTATAGGAGGTGTCAAGGTGCCTTTTCTTAAGCCTTCCCAATTAAAGCCCTCAAACCATCTAGGAAAGGAAAAAAAAAAAAAGGTAGCTAGTTAAAGGCATTTTACTTCAGCTAAAACCTCATTGCAACATATGTGATAGAAAGCAGCTAGGCAAACATTTTCAATGTGAAAGAATGTATTCTATTTAATTGCAAATTTTTAGGGCCAGGTTTATTTAAAAGATGCATTCCATAAAAGAAGTTAATTGTTGAAATATTTAACACCAACTAGAAAATAACTCCTTTTCTAGCAATTTCAGGCAGAATGTATGACCTTGTTCCTACACTATCATTATAACTTAATAAATGTCATGATATGCTTGGCCCTGAGCCTTACAGGACATTTTATTTTAAGGCTATAGAACCAGGGCATCAAAAGTCAGGACAGAAAATTATCCTTTCAGCTTTGCACTGATTCTGTGGGCAGCCTCAGTTAATTAACCTTTCCACATCACTGTATTAGGTCTAACTCCGACTTGGCACTTTTTTGTGTGCATAGAAGAAAAAAAAACATTAAATATGCAATACTAGGGTCATAGCAATTCCTAATAAAATGTCAACACATTTAATTAAAATAGACTGAAGGTATTTTGTGTAGTTTTTCCTGTGAAAATGAGGACCAGATAACACTAAGGTTTTTGGTTTTGTCCTTAAAGTAGCAAATGCTTACACCAAGTTCTTAGCAGGTGTTTTAGATATTTACAGATATTTTGATGAATAAGTTCTTCTGGTAGGGATATGAATTTCTTGTGAGTGTTACCAAAATAGACTAATAAAAACCTATTTGGTCTTAGTTTAGCATTTAAATATCCAATTAACTAGATAAAGTTTAATATTTAAGATGTTGCTGTGGTTTAAAGAAAGCCACTGTACTCTCTTTTTCTGTTTTATCATCTAGTTAGGAAGTGGTGGGAAAATATATTCCAGTTTTGGTCTGGGAAATGAGGCATGATATGGTAGAGGACTTTAGTTTTTGATACCCTGGTAGAGAACAGAATCCCAGAATTAAAAGTACACATTTCCTCTTTGTGCCAGAGAGGAAAAATGCCCACTAGTGGGAGTTGGAAGAAACTGAATTCAGTGAATCAGTCGCTTAGTATGGCTCAGGGGTCGTGTGTATTTGTGTGATGTTTCCAAGACACCCAAGCACAAGGGCCTTAGATCAGAAGGCTAACCGGTCTCACGTCCCCTTGGATGTTTCTGTAGGCTAACTACCCATCACCCAGCCTGGGGAGGTACCTGTCCTGCTTTCTGGACCCTCCACCGATAGGGACAAGGAAAGAACACTTACTTGTGCTTCTGAATGTCTTTCACGCCATTTTTCAAATTTCCCAATCTTTCTGATGGGTTATCCCTGGAATGAAAATAAGAACTTTAAGGAATCGAATCACTTTGGCATTATCCTTTCAAAAGCCATGGGGCTGAAATGCTTACCTGCATAGTTTTTTAATTAAATTAGCAGCATTTTTGGCGATCTTCTTTGGAAATTCTATCATGTCAATCCCCCTCAGTATGATGTTATAGGTTTTCATAGGATCTGGGCCTGAGAAAGGTGGGCTGTGAGGAGGAGACGTGAAAAGAGAATCACTTTGGTTTTCTAAATAAGAAATCTTAAATTGTTGCAAGTCCACAAATTATATCAGTTCTTATCTAGGGACATATATGAGTAGTGGTAAGGGAATGATGCTGGATCAATAGCAAAACAGCATGGAAACCTTTTCAAGGAAATCGCTTAGCAAAACCATACATGGGTCAAGTTTGTCTTTTTAGTGCAGTTGCTGAACCCCTCTTGCTGTCCTTGGCCATTCAAGATGCTTCTTCCACTTTCTAGCTCTTTCCCTGCCCTTGATTACCCCTGAGCTGAAGTGCAACATCACTGGAACATACAAGGACGTCTGTGATAGGACACCATCTCCTTCCAACACCACCCTGGCTCACTCGGATCAGCACGCCATTTCCGGTCACGGAACTGATCCCATGACCTCTATCAACCAACATAAAGTTTAAATTCAAGTATTAGACTAGATCGTGGCAATGTGTTTTTTTAAGATTTTATTTTTTTAATGTAATCTCTGCACCCAACGTGGGGCTTGAACTCACAACCCTGAGGTCACGAGTCGCATGCTCCACCGACTGAGCCAGCCAGGCGCCCCGTGAATTTAAACTTTAGGAGTGGCCTGCCATGCTCTCTCACACACCCTTTCTGCCACTTGCTATGCTTTGTATCTGCCTTCCTCCCGGACTCAGTGTTGTTCCAGAGTCCGGGAGAATGCCCGGCACAGAGCGTGTGATCAGTGAACATCTGCTGGACGAGTCCTTCTGCAGAAGGGTGCTCCTCCTCCCCTCCCCTCCCCGCTCATCAGTCCTTAGTAGATAACCCGACACGAGGCATCCTTATTAGGAGGCCCCCACAAGCCAGATCCATCCTCGGAGGGTAGCTTTGTGCCAGGCTCAGGGAACACAGAGATGATAAAGACCCCTCCTTCCATCAAAGTGATACACCTAGACAAATAATTTCTTGGGAAACTATTCTCCTCATACTGGGTTCATGTCTCTAGCGATTATTATTTTTGCCCCCCCCCCACCACTTTCACTAAAAGCAGTTCAAATTATTTCCTTTTAATGAGCAGGCTCCAAACAAGGACCCCAGCACAGCTCCTCCTGCCGATGTTAGTAGGAGAGCGGCTACAGCGTCTGTGGAGTGGTCCTCTCTGCTCCACCCATTCTTCTCAGGGCTTTCTCTGTTCACTGAAGCCTCACAAAGGACCCGAGGCTAAAAGTCCTAGGTCTTCCTGTCATTTTCAGGGCAGCTACTACTTTCTCTGAAGCAATCTTTTCCACCGCATCTTAACTGTTCTAAGTTCTCAGCTTCCTAGACGTGAGTCACTGGAGTGATCTTCCAAGCAGCTAGCCTGTCCCTCTTCTGGTTTGCCCCACACACTACTCCGGGCTCGTTATTCCTAAATACTACCACATAGGTTACCCCTTTTCAGAAAATACTCAATGACCGCCTCTGGATGGAGTGCACGCATTCAAGCGTAGCGGTCGTGATCCTCACGAGATGACCCTTACTGATCTCCCATTATTATTAACTTTCTACTGGAGCAGAACTGACACACGATGTTAGTTTCAGGTGGAGGACATAGTGGTTCCGCCAGGCGTGTGTTCGGCCGTGCTCCCCGGGAGTGTCGCTGCCGTGTGCCCCGCACAGCACCGGACCGTAGACTGTGCTCCCTGTGCTTTTCTTTCCTCCCGGGACTTCCTCATCCCGTGGCTGGAAGCCTGTACCTCCCACTCCCCTTTTGCCCATTCCCCCCCACACCCCCGGCAACCATCAGTTTGTTCTCTGTATGTATGGGTCTGCTTCTGCTCTTTCAGTTTCTTTCTTTTTTAGATTCCATGTGTAAGTGAACTCCTATGGTACTTGTCTTTCTCTGCCTGCCCTATTTCACATCGCATGATACCCACTAGGTCCAGCCATATTGTTGCAAATGGCAAGATCTCATTCTTCTGTTATGGCTGAGCAGGAGTCCTCTGTGTGTTTATCTGTCTCATCTTCTTTATCCGTTTATCTATTGACAGACACTTAGATTACCTTCCTTACTGGGCTAATGTAAATAATGCTGCAATAAACATAGGGGTGCCTATATATTTTTGAATTAGTATTTTCCTTTTCTTTGGGAAATGCCCAGTATGGAAGTGAATTGCTTGGTAGCTCTATTTTTAATTTTTTGAGGACCCTCCACGCTGTTTCCCACAGTGGCTGCACCAGCTTGCATTCCCACCAACAGCGCATGAGGGCTCCTTTCTCCCTCCACCCTCACCATCATTTGCTGTTTACCATTCTAACAAGTATGAGGTGATATCTCATTGTGGTTTTGGTTTGCATTTCCCTGATGATGAGTGATACTGAGCATCTTTCTCATGTGTCTGTTGGCCACCTGGATGTCTTTTTTTGGAAAAGTTACTATTTAGGTCCTCTGTTCATTTTTAAATTGAATTGTTTCTTTAGTGTTGAGTTGTATGAGTTCCTTGAATATTTTGGAATATTAAGTCATTATTGGATATATTATTTGCAAACATCTTCTCCCATTCACTAGGTTGCCTTGGTGTTTTGTTGTTTCCTTTGCTGTGCAAACCCTTTTAATTTTGGTGTAGTTTATTTTTGCCTTTGTTTCCTTTACATTAAAAGACATATCTAGAAAAATGTTACTAACATCGATGTGAAAAAGATTATTGGGGTGCCTGGGAGGCTCGGTTGAGCATCTGCCTTTGGTTCAGGTCATGACTGGGGGGTCGTGGGATGGAGCCCTAAATCGAGCTCCCTGTTTCTCCTTCTCTCTCTCTCTCCCCCAAATCTTAAAAAAAAAAAAAAAAAAGATTATTGCCTATGTTATTTCTTCTAGGAGTTTTATGGTTTCAGGTCTTGCATTTAGGTCTTTTATCCATCTTGGGATTATTTTTGTGTAGGGTGTAACGAAGGGGTCTAGTTTCATTCTTTTCTATACAGCTGTCCAGTTTTCCCAACTACTGGTTGAAGAGACTGTTTTTTTCCTATTGTATATTCTTGCCTCCTTTGTTGGAGATAAATTGACCATATAAGAAAATGATTATTTCTGGGCTCTCTATTCTGTTCCAAAGATCTTGGTGTGTATTTTTGTGCCTGTACCATGGTGTTTTGATTACTGTAGTTATCTTGAAATCTGGGATTGTGATGCCTCCAGCTCTTTTCTTCTTTCTTAAGATTGCTTTGGCTATTCAAGGTCTTTTGTGGTTCCACACAGCATTCAGTATTTGTTCTAGTTCTGTGAAAAATGCTATTGGTATTTTGAGAGGAATTGCACTGAATCCATAGAGTGCTTTGGGTAGTATGGACATTTTAACAATATTAATTCAATTCTTACAATCCATGAACATAGCATATCTTTCCATTTATTCCAATTTCTTTCATCACTATTTTATAGTTTTTAGAGAACAGGTCTTTCACCTCCGTGGTTACATTTATTTTTAGTTATTGTATTCTTTTTGGTGCAATTGTAAATAGAATTGGCTTTCTTAATTTCTCTTTCTGCTACTTTGTTGTTAGTGTATAGAAATACAACAGATTTCTGTATATTAATTTTGTACCCTGCAACTTTACTGATTTATTACTTCTAACAGTTTTTTGATCGAGTCTTTATGGTTTTCTATGTATAGTATTAGGTCATCAGCAAGTAGTGACAGTTTAACTTCTTCCTTACCAGTTTGGATACCTTTTATTTCTTTTCCTTGTCTGATTGCTTCAGCTATGACTTCGATTACTATGTTGAATAAGAGTGGTCATAGTGGACATCCTTGTATTGTTTCTGGATCTTAGAGGAAAATCTTGGTTTTGGGTTTTCCTATAGGGCCTTTATTAGGTTAAAGCATGTTCTATCTAAACCCACTTTGCTGACAGTATTGTCAACAGATATTGAATTCTGTCAAAAGCTTTTTATGCATCTATTGAGATGATCATATGGGTTTCACCCTTTCTCTTGTTCATGTGATTTATAATGTTGATTGATTTGAAAATACTGAACCACTCTTGCAACCCTGGAATAAATCCCACCTAATTGTAGTGAATGATCCTTTTAATGGATTGTTGAATGTGGTTTGCTAACGTTTTGTTGAGAATTTTTGCATCCATGTTCTTCAGGGATATTGGCCTGTAGTTCTTTTTTTGTAGTGTCTTTGGTTTTGGTATCCGCGCAGTGCTGGTCTCATAGAATGCACTTGGAAGCTTTCCTTCTTCTATTCTTTTGTAATAGTTTGGGGAGACTAGCTCTTAACTCTTCTTTAAATGTTGGGTAGAATTCACCTGTGAAGCCTTCTGGTCCTACCCTTTTGTTTGTTGGGGTTTTTGGATTACTGCTTTAATTTTGTTCCTTGTTATAGGTTTGTTCAGATTTTCTATTTCTTCCTGATTGTATATTTGTAGAAATGTATCCATTTCTTTATATGCCAACAAAGTGGACAATCTACAACCTTTGTATTTTGTTGGTGTCAGTTGTTACTTCCATTTCATTCTGATTTTAATTATTTGGATATTGGATCCTCTTTTTTTCTTCATGAGTCTTGCTAGAGGTTTCTTTTTTCAAAAAAACAACTCTTTCATTGATCTTTTGTATTATTATTTTTTTGGTCTCTCATTTATTTTCTCTCTGATTTTTATTATTTTCTTCCTTCTAACTTTGGGCTTTGTTGTTATTCTAGTTTTGTTAGGTGTAAGGTTAGATTGAGATTATTCTTGTTTCTTGAAGTAGGCCTGTGCCTCTAAAAATTTCCTTCTTAGAACTGATTTTGCGGTTTCCCAAAGATTTTGGATTGTTGCATTTTCATTTGTCTCCATGATTTTTTTTTCCAGTTTTATTCTTGTAATTGATTCATAGTTTCATACCATTGTGGTTGGAAAACATGCTTGATATAGGATTTCAGTCTTAAATGTATTGAGCCTTGTTTTGTGGCCTAAGTTTTGCTCTATCCTGGGGAATAGTTCATGTGCATGGGAAAAGAATGTATTCTGCTGCTTTGGGATGGAATGGTCTGTATATCCATCTAATCTAACGTGTCTTTCAAAGACACGGTTTCATACTGATTTTTCTGCCTGGATGATCTGTCCATTGATGTAAGTGGGGGTGTTAATGTCCCCTACTATTACTGTATGACCGTCCATTTCTCCCTTCATGTCTGTTCATACTTGCTTGCTATATTTAGATGCTCTCATGTTGGGTGGATCAATATTTACAACTGTTAGATCCTCTTGTTGGATTGATCCTTTTATCATTATGCAATGCTTGTTTGTCTTTGTTAGTTTTTTTTAGTCTATTTATTTTATCTAAGTATTCTTACTGCAGCATTCATTTATTTGCTTTGCCTTCCTTTTGCATGGAATATCTTTTTCCATTTTTTTTACTTTCAGTCTGTATGTGTCTTTAAGTCTGAAGTTTGCCTCTTGTAAGCAGCATGCAGATAGGTCTTTTTTCTTCACTCCATCATTCTGTGTCTTTGATTGAAGCATTTAGACCATTTACAGTTAAAGTTACTATTGATAGGTGTGTACTTATTGCCATTTTGTTAATTGTTTTCTGGTTGTTTCTGTAGTTCTCAGTTTCTTTTTCTCTTGTTCTCTTTTCTTGTGATTGATGAGTTTCTGTAGTGTTATGTTTGGCCTTTTTGTCTTTATTTTTTTGTGTATCTTTTATAGTTTTGAGGTTACCACGAGGTTCATATATAATATACTACTTATAGGCTATATTAAGTTGAGGGTGTCTTAAGTTCAAACACATTCTAAAAGAACTTGATTTTTACCCCCTTCCTGCCACTTTGTGTATATGTTGTCATATTTTACATTTTTTCGATATAGTTGATTTTACTACTTTTGTCTCTTAATCTTCATACTAGCCTTACAAGTCATTGCTCTATTACCTTTACTGTATGTTTGCTTTTACTAATGATTTTTTTTCCTTTCATAATTTTCTTCTAATTATGGTCTTTTCAACTTAAAGAATTCCCTTTAACATTTTTTTTTTTCTTTTACTAGTAAGGCCAGTTTAATAGTGATGAACTCCATTATTTTGATGGTCTGGGAAACTCACTCACTCCTGCAAATCTGAATGATAAACTTGATGGGTAGTGTATTCTTGGGTGTAGGTTTTTTCCTTTTGGCACTTTGAATGTATCATGCTGCTCCTTTGTGATTGCAAAGTTTCTGCTGAAAAATCAGCTTATATAGCTTTATGGGGTTTCCCTCGTACATAACTAGGAGCTTTTCTCTGGCTTTTGAAATGTTCTCTTTAATCTTTAACATTTTAAATATTATGAGTCATGGGTTTATCTTGTTTGGAACTTTTTGGGTTTCCTCAATCTGGATGTCTACTTCCTTTTCTAGGTTAGGGAAGTTTTGAGTTAATACTTCTGCAAATATGTTGTCTGCCTTTTTTCCCCTCTCTCTTCTCCTCCTGAGACCTAGATAATGGGAAGATTGTTTGATATTTTCCAAGAGATCTTTTTTTTTTTTCCTTGTTCGCTTGGGGTACTTTCCATTTCTCTGTCTTCTACATCTCTGATCCATTCTTCTGTCTGTTCTAATTTCCTACTGATTCCCTTCAGTGTATTTTTGATTTCCATTATAGTATTCTTCAACTCTCACTCCTCTTTTTTTGTATTTTTCTCTCTCTTTGTTCAAGTTCTCACAAAGTTGACCCATGCTTACCTCCATTTCATTTCAAGTTTTGTGTTGTTCTTTCATTTGGAGCATATTCCTCTCTCTCCTCATTTTGCTTGACTTGCTTTGTTTCTATAAATTAAGCAGAACAGCTACTTCTCCACTTGAAGGCATGCTCTTGTGTATGGTCAGCCCTGTGTAGACTATGTGGCCTGGTGACTATGGCTGGCTATACAGAGCTGTAGCTATCCTGGGCTTGAGGGTGTGGACCATTTGGTGTGGGGACATCCTGGTAGGATGGCCAGAGCAAAGTGGGCATGGGCGGGGGCAGTCCCAGGGATCTCCGCAGAGAAGATGCCTCGCAGGACAGCTGAAGTGGGCATGAGTTGGGGTGGTCCTGGGGCTCTGCAGGAAGGGGGCTCCTTGGCAGGACAGCTAGAGTCAAGGTGGGTAGGGGACAAGGGTTATTCTGGCAAGTCATCTAGAACCAAAGCAGAGCATGCCTGGAGTGTTCTGGGGTGCTGTGCACCTGTGTTACTTTGGTGAGATGGCTGGAGCCATCATACCCTGGTGTGTGCCATGCTGGGGCTACACTGGTGGGACACCTGCCGAGCCAGGGGCCTGGGCTCACTGCAGTGGCAAGCCAGCTAGGGTGCCCGGGCTCTGCTCCCCTCTGCACTATCAAGGTGGAGGGGAAACATAAGTAGGGGTGCTCACCAGCCCCTCAGACCTGTAGAGAGTTCCAGCAGCTCTCCCACCATTTGGCAGGGTTCTGGGGCTGGTTCCTTTATTTGAAGTTGCCCTTTTAAGCCCCAGCTTTTTTTTTTTTCCTGTGCCCAGGGCAGATGCATCCGTTCACAGACCCCCTGTACTATGCCTCCCCACTGCAGTTCACGCACTGGGGGTGGGGCTCCCCTGTGTCCCCAACCCTCTCACTTCCATCTCCCCTGTCATTCTCTATGGGGCCCCTTTTCTTCCTTTAGGGCCCGGCTACAGTCTTGCCTTATTCAAAAGCCTCCCCAAACCGAGCCCTCTTTGGAACGCTGTGGTTTATAATGATCCTGCTACTCCTTGTCACCTGGGCATGGCAGGATGGTGTGTTTTTCTTTTCCTTGAAGAGCTTACAGTCTATCTTGGACATGGAGGTATTTAGTTGTGGATGACTATAATATTATTCCACAGAAGACCTGCAAAGCATTCACATTTCATTTAGATACAACAATTGTTAATATGTCCTCCTCTTTCTATAAATAGTTGCCCCTAGGTATTTGTACAACACTATTCTCTCCCTTGCTTCATTGCTGGCTAAGCAACTAGGCTCAAAGACCTCACAGAAAGACCCAGGATTTTTCCACATTCTCATATATGTATAAAGATTTAGCAATGATGAGGCCAAAAGTGGATGTTGAGTTTCTTTTGCCCTCGTTGGACCTGTTTTAGAGTTTGTTTTATGAACTCCTGGTCAGTAGCATAATTAATGGCAATGTTGGAACAAGAAGTGGTGAGATGTGCTTTAAGACGGCCTGAGCAGAGGGGTAAAGGCACGAGTTTGCAGCTGTCTGCAGGTCTATTTTTATCAGTGGTTCTATGTCAATGTCCATACCTGCCAGTCAGAAGTTCATACATTAGGATTCCTAGTGACCAGTAGTCGGCGGAAATGTCATGGCCTTTGTTCAGGATGATCTCTGGAGCTACGTACTCTGGAGTCCCACAAAAAGTCCATGTTTTCTTTCCAAATCCTATTTTCTTTGCAAAGCCAAAATCAACCTTACAGAGAGAAAAACAAGTTATTTCGAGACCCTTAGAGTAGGCTTAAAAGCAGTAAAGTTACTGAGCTGTGGTGCACTTATAGTACAATAAAAACAGATGCCCATTACTGTAGTCCTATGGTCTAGAAGGGGTTGCCTCTACTTCAAACAATACAGCCTCCCTGATCAAACTCAGGTTCAATAGGAAAAGTTGAAATCTGAGTACAGGAGGAAACTGACATCATTACAAATAAAGGCAAATCTTTCTTTCCAGAAATATTTTCCATCTTCTCTTCCTTTCATGCCAAGGGAGGTTGGGCCAGAACTCCTTTACTGAAAATGTTTACAAGACCCGTTGGACCTCCTTGACAAATTTTCCAGAATATGCATGACTTCTGCTGGCTTGAGGAGGTTGACAAGGAATTTAGTATCGAGAAGCCACTTCACTGCTGAAGGAGCTGAGTCACAAAGTTCATCCCCACGCTTGGTAAACACAAACAGGGATAAAATGCAAATGTGTTCTTTGTTCTAGAAACCTTTTGATGAAGGAACATCAAATGCTGAAAATCTATTTTTTCTAAAACAATTTGGTTGAGAATCTAAATCATTAACTGCCTTGATTTGATTTCTTTGAACACCGTATGCTGAATAGAAATTCCAAAAGTTTAAAAAAATAGGCACTGGCAGATGCAAGGGCCATAAAAATTGTACATTTTATAATAAGAGAACTTCCCTCCTACAGTTAAGTCTTTCTTTAGAGTGACCCATTTTATTATTGATCACTACTATTATAATTAAAATGGCTTGGAAAATATCACCTATCAAGGCGCCCCCCCCCCCCTTAAGCTTATACATAAAACAGGGTGTTAGTTAAGAGGCTATGTTAGGCTCAGGTCATGATCCCAGGGGCCTGGGATCGAGTCCTTCTGCCGGCTCCTTGCTCAGTGGGGAGTCTGTTTCTCCCTCTGCCTCTCTCCCCAGCTCGTGTTCTCGCTCTTGCTTTCTCTCTCAAATAAGTAAAATTGTAAAGATTATAGCTGAATCTAAAATATTAAAACGATTCATGGTTTTCTACAATGTAAATATCCCCTGTGAATGGCAGAAAGCAGATTCAGAAGAGGTCTACAAAGGTCTTCTAGGTCTAGAACATAGCCATTGAAACACAGTCTGCCAAGGGAGTATTAATTTAGATTTAGCCAATTTAATTTCTTATAAAACTTTTGCATCATTTGAAAAGAATGGTTGGTTGAAAATAGTAACTCTAAAATCTGCTTTTAAGAAAAGTTAACAGCATTTACAAGGGGAAATGGAGATGTTAATGAACACAGCTTGCCAAGTGAGTATTTTAAAAAACTGCAGGGCGGACACCGTGTGTAGAGTGCACTGACCAGCTTGGTGTAGCCTCTGTGATCCAGGATGAGATTTTCTGGCTTGAGGTCCCTATAAATGATTCCTTTGGAATGCAGATAGGCGAACGCTTCCACCACGCATGCTGTGTAAAATCTGGTTGTAGAATCTTCAAATGAACCTCTGAGATCCGGAAAACGAAAGCACATAAGACATTAGTTTCTCGGATATGATTTTAGTTACGTGTTCTCATTTCCTGATGTTCCTTTGCCAAAGTTTGACCCCAGAGACCCACGTCCTCTGGCCAAATGTCACAGGATTGGCACTGCCTTGGGTTTTCCAGAGCACGTGAGGATCAAGTCACGGAATTCTTTGCCCTTAGGAAGGGATAGTTAAAGGTAACCTGCAAACCTGCAGAAGAGCTCAACCACACAGTTCTTCTGCGAACTTGGTGGCTTCCTCCCGGCAGCCCCCTGCCCTCAACCAAGGTACAGCTTCTGGCCAGGGGGAGACTTCAGTCCTATTTCGCGGGTTTGTTTCGTTAAGGAGAAGTTTATAGATTTAGTCATATTTATTTTTAGAGAGCTTGTTTCTGAATCTCCCTAAATTCAGATACAGTTCATGAGAGGATGAATAAAAAAGGTAATGTTTTCAAAGAACCACTTAGGAAATGAGGTGTGATGCTATGACGTAATCATATCTCACAGGCTAAATACTCTGTTTTTGAAACTTTTGCCAGCAAGAGACATAATACCTACGTCTCACCCTTATTGCCTTCTTAGTAAGAAAAGATGGGGTAAAGAGATAAGTCGAAGGAAAAAGGTACTTGGAAGGGAATATAGATTAGGAAACTTGATTCTGAGGTTTAGCAAGAAAGCCCAAAGTCTCTCCCTCTCTTTACTTTTTTTTAATGAAATAACAATAAAGGGGGACAAAAACCAAAAAGCAAAAACATCAGCATCTAAGGTTAGCTCCTTGGTTCCACAGCAGAACCTTTATACTTATTTTTTTTTTAAAGATTTTCTTTATTTATTTGACAGAGACACAGCGAGAGAGGGAACACAAGCCGGGGGAGTGGGGGGTGGGGAGGGAGAAGCAGGCTCTCTGGGGAGCAGGGAGCCCAATGTGGGACTCGACCCCAGGACCATGACTTGAGCTGAAGGTAGATGCTTAATGACTGAGCCACCCAGGCGCCCAGAACCTTTATACTTTAACTGTTTATCTTTTTAAAGAATTTCAAGGGAAAAACAAAACGATTTCCCTTTTCCCAAGTAGTAAATGTTACATAAGGATTTCCTGATATTTCTGGAACATACCTGTGAACAGCTGCTCCAAAGGAGGCTGTGAGGTAACACGAGAGACGAGCACACTGGCCGTTAAAGGGAGTGTGGCCCCAAACTCACTTCCACTACAGTCCCTGATGCCAGTTTGCATTTTGGTGACTTTTGCTGCTTTTTTCAGTATTGAGGAGTAGAGGTTAACACACCGGGAAGTCGAACATGACTGGCATTTTTTTTTTACAAAATGGAGCGGTGAATCCAAGGCGAAAGCAACACCTTTCAGGTCATTTTTACAAAGACCTAGTTTCTTCCAGAAAGTTCCTCAACTACTAATGTCCCCTGAGTTGTCACCGAAACAATTAGCTCTTCCCAAAGAAAAATCTTCCTTTTGAAATACAATTCAAGGCATGAGGATATCTACTCTTACAGATACTAGAATCTTCACTATAATTATGAAGATTCTAGTTTCTCTTCAACAATGTCTGGATGAAACAATTGTGAGTTTATAAGGACAAGAAAAAAGTGTCTTAGAGCAGGAATGAGGCATTGTATGCTGCCATTGTCTGCTGCCTTGGAACTAACTCTCTTTGCAGAGGGAACACTGTGCAATTCTGTGTATTGAGAAAGGGGTTGGAGGAGTGCCTTGAAGGTCCTTTCTTCTTTGCCCTGAAGCAAGTACGCTTGCCCATGAAGAGCAGCGGATGTCTTTGAACTGGAGATCACCGGTAGTGAATAGTTAGCATCCCCCATGCAGGTAATGAGCACCACTGGACCTGTACTGAGTGCCCTACGCGACTCCAGTCCTTCGTCACTGGAAAGCTTTGCAAAGTCACGGCAGAACCAAAACAAAACCAGACAGTACGTGGAATATAGCTCTGTCTTATTTCACATTACATGTTTTAATGAGAGATTCAGTGGCTTCCTTGTTTCAGTCCTGTGATTGAGGTGGGCCTTTTTGAAAGCCTACAAATTCTTGATTACTCTTGGAGATTATTTCTGCAGTTGTGACTTTGGGCAACATCTCTGTTTTCCTTAATAGTCACTTGTGAATGGAACCAAATGGACAAATACGTTGTGAATATTGTCAGGAAAGTGAACACTTAGGAGAGATCAACTTCTCAGGGAATCTCTGCTGAAGATAAATCTCATATTTATATTCTAAGTTGGTCATTAGCAGGAAGGTGGAAAAAAAAATCCTAATACAAACTCAGATTCATAAGAGGAGGCTCTAAGTTAGGAATATGGACACTGAAGCAAGAATCCTGGGCTCACATTTGGGTTTTGCTTGTTTAATGTTGAGCAACGCCCTGTACCTCCCTCAGACTCTATGATTCCCTTGTGCAAGATGGGGCTAGTAATAGAAACTATTGCATTGGATTGTCTTAAGGATACAAATAATTGATACGTATATTTAGAATTAGTGCCTGGCCCACAACCGGGTACCTGAGAAACATGAGCCAATCTACTTGAGCACCAAAAAAGTCGTCTTCAGCTGCTGTGTCTTAATCTAGAAAAACTGAATGACATGGACAGGTCTGTAGTCTTCTGGGGATGGGAATGAGGGGTCTGCAATACCTAATTAACACTGTCTTTGGGGTATTTGCTGCCTTTCACGGCCAAGGCCAACTGCCATGGGTAAACTCTGAAGGGTCTTCTGCTAATCTCTGTTCTTTTCATTTTCTCTACACTTCTCACAAATGTACAGATTGCCTGCCAGCTTTCATCATCAAGTGAACTGACCACCAACATTCACCTTTGGGTCTTCAAGGTTTCTCTGATTCTGAGCCATTTCGGAATTTGGAAGGTTCTAGAAAGCTGGTTTCCATTCCTTTAAAAAATCTCTTTTGAGTCTCTCCCCTATAGAAGCATATTTGTAAGTGATTTTTAGAATTAAATGAAAACGCTATCTCAAATCTGTTATGTGACAAATCGGCATAATATATGCATACAAAATATGTATCAGCTTCACAGCTTCATCCCTAAAGCTTTGATGTGGGTAATTTGTGGGTTTTAAAATACACTTCTGGAAAGCAGTCAGAAAGCATAGCATCAGGGGGACTCAAAATGAAAAATTACTATTAGAATTGAAAATGACAACATATATTTGATCTAAAACAAAAATGAAAGCTTATCTTATCAACAGAAAGTTGCTTAAAGAAAGTCTTGAAAATAATAAATTATGCCCTGACAGTTGTGTCATTTCAATGAAAACAAGTACAGAATGGGGCCTCACACCTTCTTCAAGAAGGGGCTGGTAGTTTCCTGTTAGCTAGAGGGCAGTAGGTAACATTTTGAGAGAACTAGAGAAGTATGTATACTCATGGATAGACCCAGCTTTCGATTTCATCACAGCGTTTAATCAACTTGTCATGAACAGAGTCCTGGAATGACAGAAAGCAACAAAGACAAAGCATGTTCCCTCTTGTGTCTACTAACCCCAGTCATCAGTGAGTACACACCTGAAGGGTGTTGCAGCCCGTGAAGGTTCACTGCCAACTGTAAAGCTAGGGAGGCCACATTAGTATGAAAGTAGACTCATTTCCTTGAAATACTTTGCTTTTTGTTGTTGTCAAAGTGTAATTAAAATACAGTGTTTGTACAACATAACGATTCAGTGGACTATACATCACTCAGTGCTCACCACGGTGAGTGGAGTCACTGTCACATGTTATTGCGGTATTACTGGCTATATTCCCAATGCTGTATTTTTCCTCTCGGTGACTGATTTATAACTGGAAGTTTGTACTTCTTCATCCCCTTTATCTATTTCGCCCATTCCCCTTCCCCCACCAGCCTCTCCTCTGGAGGAGACAAACTCGTCGGGTCTTTGTATTTAAGAGTCTGTTTTGTTTTCAGGATTCCACAGATGAGTGAAATCGTATGGTATTTGTCTTTCTCTGACTGACTCATTTCACTTAGTACAATACTCTCTGGGTCCATCTGTGTGGTTGCAAATAGCAAGCTCTCATTCTTTTTTATGGCTGAGTAATGTTCCACTGTATGCACACACCCCATCTTATCTGTTCATTTGTTGTTGGACACTTGAGCCGCTTCCGTATTTGGCTACTGTAAATCACGCTGCAGTAAACACAGGGATGCATGGATCCTTTCACATTAGTGTTTTTTTGGGGGGGGGGTAAATACCCCGGAACAGAATTACTGGATCATAGGGTAGTTCTAGTTCTAATTTTTTGAGAAACTCCCATACTCCTTCCAGAGTGGCCGCACCAGCTTGCGTTCCCACCAACGGTGTGTGAGGGTTTCTATCTTTTTGATTCCAGCCATTCTGACAGGGGGGAGATGGTATCTCATTGTGGTTTTGATGTGCATTTCCCTGATGAGTGATGGTGAGTGGCTTTTCATGGGGCTGTTGGCTACTCTATGTCTTCTCTGGAAAAATGAATGTTCAGGTCCTCTGCTCATTTTTTATTTGGATTTTTTTTGATTATAGCATTTGCAAATATCTTCTTATTTACTCGGTTGCCTTCTCATTTGCTGATGGTTACCTCTGCTGTGCAGAAGCTTTTTATTTGTGTGTAGTCCCAATAGTTTATTTTTGCTTTTGCTTCCCTTGTCTGAGGAGATGGATCTAGAAAAATGTTGCTAAAGGTGGTATCAAAGAGATTACTATGTTTTCTTTTAGAAGTTGTCAGGTCTCACATTTAGGTCTTCAATCCATTTTCAGTTTATTTTTGTGTACAGCATAAGAAAATGGTCCAGTTTCATTCTTTGGCATGTAGCTGTCCAGTTTTCCCAGCGCTCTTTGAAGAGATTGCCTTTTCCCCATTGTATATTCTTGCCTTTGTTGTAGATTAATTAACCATATAATAGCGTCAGTTTATTTCTGGGCCCCCTATTCTGTTCTATTGATCTGTGTGTCTATTTTTGTGCCAGTGCCATATTGGTTTGATTACTAAAGCTTTGTAGTATAGCTGGAGATCCAGGATTATGATACCTCCAGCTTGGTGGTTCTTTTTTGGGATTACTCCAGTTCTGAGAAAAATGCAATTGGTATTCTGATGGAGATTGCAATGAATCTGTAGAGTCCTTTGGTAGTAATGGACGTCCAGAGGCATGGAATATTTTTCTGTTTGTTTGCATCATCGTCAATTTCTTTCATTACAGGTCTTTTACCTCCTTGGTTAAGTTTATTCCTAGGTATCTTATTCTTCTTGGTGCAATTATGAATGGGATTGTTGTCTTTTTTCCCTGCCCACCTGCAAGAAATTAAGTGGCAAGGTCACTAGGTGAGCTGTCCACACTTGGTCTTTCTGCAACAGCTGTGGGTGCACCAAAGGGCAGGTTCTTTTCTTTCCCCCTGTGCTGGTAACTGAAAGGCTTGGCTACGGGAGCTGTGCTGTGGTTTTCTTGCCCTCCTCAGCCACCGCCCACCCCCCCCGCAACTGGCAAGCAGGAGTCCCTTTGGAGGGATGGCTGCTGAGGGAAGCAGGTTGAAGGAGATGGGTCCACAGGGAATGTGGGAGTGGGGCACGCAGTGCTAGAGTCCTGGCTGCCCCAAGTGTCTGCCCATCGAGGCTGGAAAAGGGAACAGAAATGCCTGCCAGCCCTTTTCTTCCTGGAGAAGGTTCCTGCCGCTCCGGGGCATACTCTGACTCCAAATTGCCGTTTCTGTGCCCTCCTGGCAGCTTATTTATTAAAGGGTGGGGACTCCGTTTTCTGTTGCCCTCAGGCTCTCCTGGAGATGTCTCAAGTACCTGGAGCCAAGCCCCCAGCTGATTTTAAGCCCTTGCTGAGTGAAGCGTCATTGGTTTTCCAACCCAAATGGTATGGGCCCTGGTTATGCCCATGCCGACCCCTCGAGCTGGGGGGGCCTGGGGTGGGGTCTGGTCCGCCTGCTTCTCCATGCTGGCGGTGTCCCTCCTGGCTGTGATTAACCTCACGGGAGATCTGGTTCCTCGCCGTAGGTCCGTGCCTCTTACCCTTTCCGATGGGGGCTCTTCTCTACGATGAACTGTGGAAGGCTTGCCCTGACAGTCTTCAGGTGTTTTCAGAGTTCTTTGTCGAAATGCAGCTGTCATCTTGGTGTGTCCCCGGAATGAGGTGAGTTCAGGATCCTCTGATTCTCCCCTCCTGACCCCTTGAAATACTTTTGACCTGCACTATCCATTTTGGCATCCTAGATGGACTTTAAATGATTACCCTCCACAGTATAGTTAGAATCAAAGAGAATGGAGATTTAAGTTGCTTGCCCGCTTACAAAACACATCCAGGACGACACCTGACTAGAAGTGAGAGATGGCGTGATTTGAAAATTATGGTTTCTGAAATAATTAAGCTCTTCAGTAGGAAATAAACATATATTAAAAAAATTAACAGTTGAAATGAGTTTTAGATTACTATAAAAACCATATTAGGATATATTAGCATTTATATAATCATATTAACCACTTAAAGAACTGGCAATCCCTACAACTTTCTTAAAAATTTTAAGTATTATGGAGGAAAGGTGAGTAAAATATAACGTGTACCCACCTATTCCAAATGGTGGTACAGAATGTGTGAAAAACACAAAGTCACAAGTGAGAAGCCAAAACATGAGAGCTACTAAAGACTAAACCAAAGAAATAACTGCAACAATTAACATGTCAGGGGTGTTAGTTATATCTATCTCAGAGATTAATAGTCTGTTTGTCTACATGGTATCATTTTATTTTTTATAGTATTTTAATTCTTAGTTTTTGACAACAAACACTGTGTGGTCCTTTTCTATGTGGATGAGAAAAAAAGAGGGGCAGGAGGTGGTCCGCTCACTTACTAGGTGACAGGAGGAGGGAGGGCTGTTGCTCTCCAGACTTCCTTTGCTAAATCCCCGAGGCTTAGAGGTATTACCATGTGGGTCAAGAATAGTCACACAAACCTTTCTTAAAATCAACCCAAATCCATTTCCTTTATCCTTTCAGAATAGCTACTCCCTACTGCTGCTTTCCTCGGATGCGAAAAGAAAACGGAATGAATTGAATGGGATTTGTTTTGACCCCGGAAATTTTCATATACACTGTGACTAAGAGCATAATTGTTTTCCTTTTTCTCTTGGCATTTTTTTGTTGTTGTTTCTTTCTAATAATTAACCTTTAGGACGTCCAACCTCAGACAAATAGTGAGAGAGCTAGTCAGTGGCAGTAGTAACTGGAGCCTAGAGCTCCACGACTATTTCCCCCCCCCCCCGCCAAACCCCGGAACCAATTTTTTGAGTAGCGGGGGGGGGGGGAAGAGAATAAAAGCAATAAGGTGCTACATGCATATATAATAGTTCTATTGCTTTTAACACCGAGGCTTCGGCCCTCCTGAATCTTTAGAAAGGAACAGGTAGCCTTTCCATCTCCAGATCATGCCTCTTCATGGAGTAGTAAGCGCACTGCAGGGACTCCCCAACCGTGTATCCCAAACCCAGGGAGGACAAAAGGGAAGGAAATGGTCCTGACCAAAAAGCATCCAGGTTGAGGCAGAGAAAGGACCACCCACTAATATTTTGCCTCCATCCACTTTTACATAGCAACCTTAGGTGCCCTGGCCGATCAAAATACTTCTCCCTCGGAAGCCTTGGCTGGCATTTATGAGCCAACAAAATGCAAATCGAGTTAAATAGGGAGAAATCGGAAATAATATTTTCTTTCACAAACTAGATTGAAATTGGATTCCTATGCATGTTTGATGCCCCTTAAGTGGACTTGAGATTGATTTGTATTGTTGCCTGCTTAAAGAAGTTAATAAAAGCTTAAACTATTTCCTCTCCCTCTGTGGCTTATTATTGCTTTCATGTTTACTTCCACCTGTAAATCTTCTAATTAGAACAAATCGGGGAAGATATTTCAAATAAACTGGATTGAAAGGTCAGGTCAAAAATAGTAGACCCTCATTAGGATGAAGCAGACATTAACTCACAAATCAGAATGGGAACTTTATGCAGCAGTCTGTAAATTATGAGAAGGGGATCACATCTTTTCTTTTTTTAATCATTGTATCCCCAGCTTCTAGCATAATGCCTGGCATATGATCTGTGCTCAAATATTACTAGAAATCATGTAATAACGCACTATAAACATCTTAGTACAGATGTTTACCCTGGCCCCTAATGCCAACATGATGCATTGCCCTATGTACTTATTTCCCTTAAATTTAAGAAGTGAAACACAACATCAATGTAAGTAGGACAAGATAAGGTAAAAAGAAATCCATTTGGTATATATAAGGCAGGCAAAGGAGATAAGACCTGAAAGGTCAAGGTTTCCAAAGACATAAAGTTACCATAAGAATGCTATTAGGGATGAGACTTCATAAGCTACTCTGGGTTTTCTGTTAATTACTATGCTGGGATATCTACAGAGTAACAAGTTGTCAAAAAATAGCACTGCTTTCTGGGAACAACAGGGCAGTCTACCACAGGGTTTCAGTAAGATGTTACCCAATGAAGGAGGATATGGGTAAGACTAACAAATATGAAAAAAGAAAAGATGTCAAAAGGTGAACCTTCAAAGGAACAAGGATGACTTCTAAATGTTTGATCAGTCATAGGAAATGATCAAAAGATCATTCACAGGAAACGAAAACTGTCTTTTAAGTAAAAATTTCGGATTGATCATGATCTCCTGGGACATTTTATAGAATAGATTTTAGTTTGCTAGTTCTATAAATAAGAGATAGAAACAAGCACTAACTAGACCAAATTTACTTGCCCTCAAAGGGCAAACATAAGTCAATCTGAATTAGATTGAAATACTGCTTATAAGTGGATTCATTTTTTCCTAAGATCAGCTGAAGCCTAAAGAAGATGGCTGGACCTTGTTAATTTTGAAACCAAAGAGCAATGTAAAGCCAGAAGAAAAAGTAACTCGGGGAAAAAAAATTCTCAATGTCAGAAAAGGCAGACCACCCATCTGGCCAACGAGTAAAGCAATTAAGCTGCCAATTAATCCAGATAGCAACTAGAACCTACCTCTGTTCCCTTCAGTCACAGCAACAAACTGAATTCTAGGCATACAGTTAGCTGAATTCAAGGTAAAAAAAAGACCTGTGCATATACCTTGCTAGGTTACCATTTCCATGCTGGACTAAGCCTTTATCATTAGTTACAAATCAGAAACAGAGCGAGCATCACATTGACTAAAGCATGTATGTACGGTGGGCCGTAGCCCATATTTACTTATTTTCTGAAAAATAAGCATATGTAACATGTAAGTGATTTTTATACTTTATAATGAACTCTTCTTATAGACCATCATAGTCAACTACGTTTTTAGAGAAATGATAGACATTTCTTAAAACTCCTACCTATCCCTGAGAATGGTCCAGAGCTCTCCACCCAGGCACACTTCCATCAACATGTACAAATATTTGCTGTCCTTAAACGTTCTGTACAATCTGTGAATTGCAAACAAGAAAACAAGGGTTATAAACATTGTTGTCTTTGAAAAGAATGTAAATGCTTTAAGTGCTCCGACTACAGTCTTATACTTGATTTACCAAGCTTGAAATGTCATTAAAGGAAAGAAAAGATTAGGAAAGGATAGATTAAAGGAAATCTGTTTGCACATAGGGAAAAGGAGGCAACAGGCTCCTGACTAAGATGTGTATGGTGTAGGGGCTAGTCTTTCCTGGGCAATGAATGGATGAATCCAAAGGATTATGGACCAAGGTGGCTTCTTGGGGTCCCAGTTTGGCTGATGTTTTAAGCATGGATACTTGAGCCACATTGAGTGGTGATAAACATGCAGTCTACATGCATATAAAATAGATATACTTTACAAACATAGACATGTATGCAATTCCCATGCTCTTCCTTAAGTTCACCTTATGCCCTATTTTTCAGTGCCCCTGACAAATTAACTAGAACAGGTTTTATTTTTTTTGTATATAAGAACTCCCCGTTATCCTCTTACTAATGCTCTGAAAATACGGAGATGGAAGAGTCATTTCATTTTTTTAATCTTCCAAAAATTAAATTTACATATTAGTATTCAAATAATTAAAGGGAGGATAGTTTGATTTTTGTATTTTTGTCTTTCAAGCTCCCAAAGTCTATGTAGGGTTTTTCAGTCACAGAGAGCTTAAAAATGGAATGTCAGAAATGGAGAGATCTCCTTTGGGAAAAACGTTCTTTTCACAGTATCTGACTCTTTAAAACAAAAAGGATAGACTCAAACTTGGTTTTTTTTTTAAAGCCTAACAAAACTTTCTTAAAATCAGATTTAAAAATATGTTTCCTGGGTGAATGAAATGTATGACGGTGAGCAGGGGTGGCGACGGGTTTGGTGGCTTGACTTTCCACGGAGAGAGGGCACATCAGCCCCTGGGGGGGGGCGGGGTCTTTACCTCACTATGAAGTCAGAATGCGCCCCCTGCATGATCTGCTTCTCTGAGCGGATATGCTCCTGCTGTCTCGTATCCACAATGTGGCGTTTCTTGAGAATCTTCATGGCAAAGGTTTTGGACTCTTCACTTTTCAACTGGACCTTAGAGAAAACCACAGAAAATAAGTGAGAAAAAATCCACAGCATTAATATAACAGAGTGCCTTCTCATCCCCAAATTGTCCAGTGTGCCAAGCACAGCAGGGACCCCCCGGATGCCGCCTGAGTCACACGGTACGTGCTTGCCGGAGCCGGGCAGAAATCCAGGTCCACGGCTCTTGTCCACGGTCCTTCCACTGGACCAGATAGAGGGTACGTAGATGCTCACTTAGTGCTGTTTCTACTGGGATTCGAAGAGGGAAAGTGAATTGGACTCTCACTGTGTTATTTCATTTCATATCACACGATGCGTTGGAGCATACTTTAGAGTTTCTCTCCTGCAATCAAAAGAGCATAAAAACAAAATTCTCCAATTTCTCTTCCAGTAGATGTGGTAGATGTAGGGCCGTATGGGTCTTTACAACTCTTCCTCCTCGGTCCTGGCTGGTAGATGTTTCCATAGGAAACCGCTCTCTCTGCTGAGACTGCAGAAGCACGTACTGTCCCTTCTTCTCTTCCTACTGCCCAGTCTGGCCCTTCCTCCCAATTAAAACAAAATTTTCAAGAGATTCTGAAAACTTTTTCTTCTTCTTCACCAGTATGCATGATAGCTTTAATCCTGTCTGTCCTCAAAGCTGACCACTTTGTCGTACTAACTGGGAAAGCCTAAGCTGGGCTGGGACGTCTCCATGGCCTCCACGCCATTGGCACAGCCCCACATGGCTCCTGGGGGCTTGTGTTCTCCGAATACTGGTCCTCAGGCAAGCCGTGGGTCTGTGGGTCACTGTTTTATAAAAAATGTCAACAAGGTGACTTTTTTTTTTAAAGATTTTTATTGATTTTTATTAGAGATGGGGGGAAGGGAGAGAATCTCTAGCAGCCTCCCTGCTGAGCACAGAGCCCGACACGGGGCTCGATCTCATGGTCCTGAGATCATGACCTGAGCCGAGACCCAGAGGTGGAGGCTTCACGGACTGCACCCCCCCAGGTGCCCCTCAACAAGGTGACTTGTAAGGAAAGGAAGAGATCTGGGTGATGGAGCTAATTGCTTAATAGCAACAGCAAAGAGTTTTCTAGTGTTGTGGAGCCACAAACAGAATCTTCAAGCCTGCATCATTTGGAAGTCGTGAAGGCCTTGGGTAAATGACATGGCAAGCTGTTTCTGCTTTTCAGCTGAAGGATCGCTGCCCCCTGGAGTTGTGAATTGTTTACTGCGTCACCTGCCCCGCAGTGCGATTCTTCACGGTGTTGTTCATGCACACGTGCACAGACTGAACACACAGTCCAAGAGGACATCCACAGGGCAGGGGCCTTGGATGACAACACTTCACATCAACGGGCCTCAGGCTGTGGCCAGCATCTGTGAATCTCTATGACAGGTCAGAGAGAAAAATGGAAATTTGAATTTGCCTTAAGTGGCCAAGGGCCCCTCTATGCGTCTTTGAAACTCTTTAAGATGACAGATGAGTGTGATTCAAATGAATCCAGTTGTAGTTCATAATAAAACAAAATGTGAACACGCACTTCTAGAAGAAATCCGGACAGACAGCATGAAAAATGAGCCGTGTCAGAGTGCTAAACACCAGAGAAGAAATGAACTCATGTTCTCTTCGGACCCTTAGTGTAAGGACCTCAGTCTCTTGGGTGGCTTACACACCTGATGGAAAACTTGTCCATTATTCTTTGCAGTGATGGTGATGTATGTTTTTACTTGTACACAGGGTGGGAGGAAAGAACTCTGGTTTGGGGTCACAGGTCTGGACCTCAACCCTGCCTTCGCTTAGTTGCTTTGCTTCTCGGAGCCCCAGTTCTTGCTGAAGAGAACACGGTATGGAGTTATTGTGACCTTAAGTGAGAAAGTGCCATGGGTGGGAAATTGCCCATGGTCTGTCTGCTGGACCTTGCCCCAGCCAGTAGGCTCTGCTCGATAGTGTATGTCATGTGTCTGCCAAACAAAGCCAGATCACCTCACTCCTCTACTCAGAACACTCCAGTGCCTTCTCATCTCGCTCCTATAAAGACAAAGCTGTCACAGAGACTATGAGGTCTAGACCCCAGCTACCCTCTAACTCACTCTGCTTGGGTCACGCCCGCCCCCTTGCTATTCCCGGAGCCCACCGAGCAAGCCTGTGCCTCAGTCTATCTGCTTGTGCTTTTCTGCCCAAATATTTTCCCACAGATATCCCCAGGAGTCCCCCTCTCAGTTCCCGAAGCTCTCTACTCAAATGTTTCCTCGTCGGCGTGTCCTCACACCAACCTCCATAAAAGAGAAACCACCCCCCTTTCCCTGCTTTCTTGTTCTCTCTAGCTCTATCCCAAGCGCATACACGGACAATTTTTCATTACTCGTTCAGCTCCTGTCTCCTCTCGCTAGTCTGTAAGCAGCCTGTGATGGGGGATCTTTTTACTCACTCTCCGTGACACAGAGTAAATGCCTATTAAATATCTGTTGACTGCATGAATCAAAGAAGGAACGTGAGGAACCATGACGACCTATCACGGGCAAAGCCACAGCAGAGCTGGGGTCTCAGCTCCACACTGTGTATCTCTTAGCTTCACAGGAGAAAAACAAGGGAAACCACAAGGACGTAGGGTATTTGGTCTTTTTCTTGGGTCCCAGAGTGCCCTTAATTAGGCATGGAAGGGAAGAAATGATTTCTGCATGTCAACACTGCATAGGCAATAAACATGGCCAAATACCCATGCAATTCAGCTTCCAGTTTTCAGTTTGTATTTTCACAAGAGGCTTTCTTAACCCAGCCTTTTCCTTGAATGCCATTCCCAACCACGGAGACTACTAGGCTAATAAAATCATCTCTAGGACAAAGTCCAGTTGGCTGCCAACGAGCTCTTGAGACCATGGCCATTTGTTTGCGACCCATCTCCTAGCCAGCACTCCTCCTGAGTTCTGAGTTCCCGTCCAACGAACACATTCCACGATTGCCCGTATATTGCCCATTTTCGTTCTAACCAGCTCATCACTGTTACACCCACACACAGATGTTTATTTCACCATAGCCAGGATATGAGGTAAAAACATGTACCTACTTTGCTATTTCTTCAGTGGTTTTGTACTGTATATTAGGGAGAGTCTATGCAGGGAAATAAACGAAGCTCTCGGGGATGTCAGAAAGAAATGGGAATTAGCCTTTGTGAAACACATACGTGCTGGGCACATCCATATGCATTATTTTTAGACCCGACATCAACTCTTATGGGCGGGAGGAAGAGATTTTTGTTGTGTTTTCACAAAGACTTCATCATCACTAACAACAATCGCTAACATCGCTAACATTACTAAAGCTCGTATTGTCGGGAATAGCATAGTAAGTGAGTTTTCTCCCTTAATCGTCTAGGCGCCTCTTTGAGGGACTCTTGTCATCCCCGTTTTTCAGAGGAGCTAACCGAGGATTACCAGAGGGGGTCATATCTTGCCCAAGGCCACCGAGCTGTCAAGTAGCAGAACTGGGTTCAGGCTCCAGTCTTTTTGGCCCAAGCTATTTGTCATATACGCTGCTTCCCTTCAGCTGAAGAGAAAAGGAACTGACAGCACAGTGATTGATGCTTTACAAATGAGAGTTTAATGGAACTGGCTCCCTCGGAGAGACTCCATGAGAAAAACTGAACCGTGCGGTTAATACCATGAAGCTTCATCCATGCTGGAAATGCCAGAGCCTCACTGGCCTTTCCCTAGGGACCTCAGGGGATGCTCGGGGATCTGGGGTGCCTGAGTGATGGCTTCTCCTTGTGGAATTCAAAGGATGGAAGTGGGGGGAGGGATATGGTGCTAACAGCTGGTGGGTGGCAGGTGGTTGCTGCCCAAGAGAAGCATGCATGTAAAAGCTGCAGAGATGATTGGGAGTCAGCCACATCAGTTGCCAATTTAGTAAGTATTAATTATAAGAAGTTTACAGAGTCAAACAGCTCATCTATGGAGGCTTTCCGTTTTATCTTTGCTTGAGTGGAGACAGTCCCACTGTCTGGAACCACCATCCTTTGTATTCTGTAAAGACCTGTGTAGTTCCTTAGAGGACAGCCCTTAGAATCTCCACTTTCATTTTAAACTAGGAGGAACCAAGACGCACAGGATCCCGGCTTGTAACCGAGAAGTCAGACCGCCCGAGGACTACTGGCAGACGTAACTCAGCAGACAGGGCGCCTTCTGCTGGAGTGAATGCTCTGAAAAATTTTCTCCTGAGTAACCGACATGTCCGACTCTTAGATTGTGTCTAATGGCAAAATTTGGAAATAATCTAAATGTCCATGCAGAGAAGTGTGGAAAAATAAATTATGGTACATTCCTGCAATGCAGCTGTAAAAAACTAGGACTTAAAATGATGACTTAGCAAATGGGGGGAAAAAATACAGAGGGAGACAAAGCAAGAGACAGACTCTTAACTACAGAGAACTGATGGTCACCAGAGGGGAGGTGTCAGGGGAATGGGGGAAACAGGTGATGGGGATGAAGGGGGGGCACTTGTCCTGATGAGCACGGGGTGATGTACAGGGAAGTGTTGATCTCTCTATTGTACACCTGACACTAATATTACACTGTATGTTAACTGGAATTTAAATAAAAACTTATTCTAAGTCTTTGTTTTTTATTATGGAAAAATATGCCCCCCAAATTTATTTACACACCCACATACACACACAGAGATAACATATATGTATGTCATATATAGAGAGATAGGATACGAGCCAGCATACATTTTATGATCCCATAAATAACATTTGTATGTATGTGTATATCTCTATCTAAAATAAATCTAGGAAGAGACAGTCAGAAATGTGTCTCCCAATATGTTAATAATGGTTTTCCCTTAGGGAAATTTTCAGTTCTACTTCTTTTTGCTTTTTTGAATTGCTTAACTTTTGTACAATTAGCATGTATCCCTTTTATGATGAGTAAACACAATGACTCTCACGGAAAATAAATTTTAAAGTCTCTCTTAGATTGTACTACCTATTTATTAGTGTCTGGCTCTCTCAAAGGATCCTGGT